ATAGGCAATAAGGGTAAAGGCTAAGGGTGCCATCCATCCAGGGGGTGCCTAATTACTTGTTCGTTAGTGCTGCAAGGCTATTTGTGTGTGCATGGCAGGCAGGGGGCGTGGCTTTCAGCTCCTTCTAGAAGGGGAGGAGACTCTCTAGTTGCTCTCACATCTCTGATGACCAAGACTCTGTCGTCAGAGGCTCTGACACTGGTCAGTGACTCGATGCAATCTGCTGGGTTCCTTATAGGAAACTTTTTACTGATTGGCTTAATGAACTGACCTGTATTCGAGTGTGTTCTTTGTCCTTGAGACTACGCTTGTCAGGATTTGGCACTATATAAATAAACAGAATAGAAATTTAACTGAATCTCCTTTTTCTCCCCTTGATGACATCATGGTATGGACCAAAGAAACTTCTAGAAAATTCAAATGCCAAACAAAACTTATAATGGAACGCCTGTGATGGCCCTTCACCCTTTCATTCCCAGCTGGCTGTTGGACTCATGAGAGAATGATGTGATTCATCTACTGTGTGGTTCAGAGCCACCACCAACATCTGCAGCTTGTGTCACCAAGTTTTTTGTTCTTATTCTGCACAAAACCACTGGCAGTTCATTGCTTGATGACCCTAATAATGTCACAATGAGCTCATTGATGTTACTCAGGCCCCAGCTGACGTTACCCAACTTCCAATTTTTTTTGTGAAGATTTAACTTTGATGCTGAAGACTTGTGGTGTGTCCCTTCAAATAAAAAAATCAGACATTCTGTTTATTTTTAATTTAAGCTCATATTTATTCATGCTTAATGTGTAAGAAATTCTTAGTGGCTTAGAAGCTAATCAGGTGTCACATGAAGTCTATTTTTTAACCGTTAGAAGAGAAGTTGGAAAAGAGATCTGACTGTAACGGATGAAGCGCCAGAGCGTAGTGGATGTCTGCAAAGCTTCTCAGCAGATATCCAATGTCTCTCGATGTAATGACACTGGTGCCAGGCATCAAAACTCATTTCTGGTTGAACCCCAACAACCTATAAATGGATGACAAAAAAAAGCAGAAGCCAACGTGATTCATGAACTCCAGCCTGAGATGAAACAGAGCTGTGTGCAAGAATTGTCTGCAGAGTCCTTGCCACCAACCCCCCCTGGAGTTGTGACATAAAGATTAATGTTGTGATTCTACCTGCCGGATTGCTTTGTTCACCCATGGTGGACCACAGGCAGCCCCTACATGTGCAGAGCATTTAGATTAAAGTGATTCTGGCAACAAGACTTCAGAGATGGCCGCTCATCTAGCTGTGGATAACAGGGAAAAGGTCAGAGGAGGTAACAGGAGTTCACCTCAGGCGAGACCTTAAACTTACAATATAGTGTAAATCCCAGGCAAATAAACCATGTCTGACCCTAATTAACGTGATTACATGACTGGACCAGTCATAGCACGTTTGTGAAAGCTCTTAGTGTAAGTCAACTTCCCCAGTTAAATGAAAATAAGCACAAATAAACAATAATTACACAGAACCAGAAAGTCTTCATATGGCTCTTGCTGCTTAGTCACGTCCTTTGAATAACTACCCTGGATAAACCCCAAAGAAACACACAGCTGAGAACTTCAGAACCTATGACTCATGAGCCCATAACGTGACAGGTTTATAATGGAAGTCAATGAGAGGGTGCATCAGAAGTAATCAGCTGTGGCATGGCTATTTGCAGGACAGCTCCTTTTTTCTGTATTTCACTAAAACTGCTTTGTTTATCTAATGGAATGTTTAGTTGGCCTGGTCTCGAATCTACTCTCAGCTTTGAGGCAGCTGAAGGTACTGTAAAACAGTAGATGTGCAGCTTTGTTTGGAGACATAATGGGTCTGTTTGATGCAGAGGCATGGCCTTGCATAAATGAAACATGATGCATCAATTAAAAGCATCTATAACAAGTTTACTGTTCTGTAAGGTGTCTGCAGCAGACAGTTGCTTTAACCCTAACCCTAACCCTAGCTCTGAAAATGCTTCAAGACTGTGAAAAGAGTATCGATCCACTTTGCTGCAAGGTTATCTTCTAAAATGTGACAGACTGCACAGAAAATAAGGTTTAAGACTTCCTGCTTCTTGTCACTGTTTTATATTATCTCTCCCTGTGTCATCAGGTAACCTTTACAGTGACTCCTTGTCAGTATCAGGTTGTTTTGCCACCAGAACCACCTTAATTATTCATGTCACAAATCCAATAAGATGCTACGAACATTCCTCAGATGATCTGGTCCATTTTGGCATGGCATCATCATTTCCATCTATGAGAACCTCATGGAACTGCCACATCTAACAGGTTCTGGACTGAACTGAGATGTGGTGACTGTGGAGGCCGTTGGAATCCAATGAACTCATGATCAGTTAGAGATGATCTGAGCTTTATGACATGCTGCATGATCCTGCTGGAAGGAGCCATCAGAGGATGGGCCCGTGTGGTCGGAAAGGGATGGACATGGTCAGCAACAAAACTCAGATAGGCTGTGGTGTTTAAATCAGGCTCAGGTGGTACTAAAGTGGCCATTGAGGGACAAGAACATCCCCCACCACCACCACCATTACACCACTAGCAGCAGCCTGAAGCATTGATACAGGCAGAATTGATCCATGCTTTCATGTTGGTGACACCAAATTGTGACCTGACTATTCTGAACATGGGACTAGGGTCAAGCACCCCTGATGTAGAACCAGTATGTCCATTCTCTGACTTCAACACAACAGTTGCATCCACCCAACTGCTGCTCACTGGATATTTTCTCTTTTTTGGGCCATCCCCTGTAACCCCTATGGTTGTGGATGGAAACCCCAGAACATCTACATATTCTGAAACCAGTCTGTCTGTTACAGAGGTGTCCAACTCTAATTCTGGGAGCCACAATTCAGTACTTTTTAATTGTTTCTTTGCTCCAACACGCCTGTTTCATTTAGTTTAGCAGGTCATGCGCTGCAGAAGTTTGTTAATCATCTGCTGATTAAAGCATTTGTCTGTTTGAGCAGAGAAACAGCTAAAACAAACAGGGCAGTGGACCCCCTGGCCTGCCAGACTCGTCCTCTGTTTAATTCTGCATAGAGAAAGAGTCTGATAACTCACAGGCAACGAGGCACATGAGGGGCGGGACTAGGCAGCTCAAAAATAACCAATCAGAAAAAAGACGGAAATGGTGACCTTACCGCGTGACGCTGTAGTTTTATAGCTGTGGTAAAAAAAAAAGGCGTCTGCCAACAGCACAAACATCTTTTATTTTTAGAAATGCTTTTAGCGCTTCTACTTGTTGTGGTTTTAAAAACATTCAAGTCATTTAGAACGGAGGAAAGAGCCTCAGCAAACCCCGCCGCTGTCTTCGTTGTTTATGAGAAACTGAGCGTCACTGTGTGTGGCGTCCGCACGCTGTAGTTTTTTAGCTGTAGTCCAAAATGGCGTCTGGCAACAGCGCAAACATCTTTCTTTAGAAGAAATAATTTTAGAGCTTCTACTTGTTGTGGTTTTAAAGACGTTCAAGTAATTTAGAACAGAGGAAAGAGCTGCAGCGAACTCCGCTTAAGTCACCATGTTTAAGACAAACTTGGCGTTGTGGTGTGTGACGCACGCTAATCAACGCAGATTGGCTCGGTTAGAATTCTCAGGGGGTTGTGTTATTTGAATAGGAGAGTTCCTGGGCCCTTTCTCTGTGCAGAATTAAACAGAGGATTCTGACAGGCTAGGCTATTGACCTCCAGGACCAGGATTGGACACCACTAGTTTAATACCAACAACCATGCTATGTTCAAATTCTTTTAATTCGCCTTTCTTCTTTTTTCTGATGCTCAATGGCACCTTCAGCAAGTCTTCCTCATGTCTAGCTAGCTAAATGTGTTGCTTTGCAACCATGTAAATAACTGGCTGGATCATATCAAGCAGTTAAACAGGTGAGCTTCATAAAATGACTTGTCAGTGTGTATAACCCAAGTTTTCATTTGTGTGTGGTGTTTTACTGTTGTGTTTTAAATCATCAATCATCCGTGTGGATTTCTGCCCTTTGGTCTTATCTAGGGGTACACCAATATATCGATCGACCGATATTTATCGTTTTTATATATCGGCCACAGCCGATATTTGTAGTGAGGCTGATTTAAAGTCAGGTGCTTGCTCGGGCAGCACCTTTGCAGAATTGAATGGAATCTATTTTTACATTCACCAACAACATCTACATAATAAATACTCTAAATTAAATTAGTAACACTGACCGGTGCACATAGTTAAAATTTAAAATTAGAGTTAAAAAACAGATGCAATGTTGTGCATCAACTAATGTTATTATTGTGAAATATGGTGTAAAACATCTGGACAGACGCTATGAAATTGGCCCATAAAAATCGGCAGGTGCATAACAGCCATTGGCTGACCATGTCTTCTACATATCGGCATTGGTATTGGCAGTAGAATAACCCGTAGCGGTTGACATTTTAATCCGGTCTAATGTTTAATAGCATGTTTGGGCTAAACTTAATGGTTTAATGGCTGTGGCAAGCCTGGGTTTACAGCGTTAACATATTAGATTGATGTTCTAGGGTGAAGATTTAGATTTTTAACTAACTGTTAATCAGCTAATAAACAAAATAGAGGAATTTATTTACAGGGAATAAATGGTAGGTCAGGTTTCATGCATAAACCTGGTTTGTTGTGTTTTAAGTAAAACCCATGTGCAGTGGCACATACATATTATTATCATTAATGACACGTTGTTTTCTATAGCTGTATTGTTCCTCTCCTAACACGAGCCACACGAACTTTTACATTTCTAAATATTTTTTATTTTTATCTCCTCCGCCTCCAGCCGACTCTCTCCGGCGTGAAACCTTCCTCTCTCTCTCCTTTCCGATGGCGGCTGCCGCCCCTGAACAGGCTTAAGGCACCGCCAGTATGTTCGCAGACTCGGGCTGTGTGCTAGGAAACATGAGCAGGGACTGGTATTCAGAGTCCGGGGCGGCGCCGCAGGCCACCGGATAAAACGGAGGAGGAGGCGGCGGTCCGTGCGGTTAGAGCTCAGAGACTCAGGCAGGGAGCATGTGAGCGGGGCATGGGCAACTGGAAGCAGGATTATTGTTGTTCAGCACGGCAGAGAGGCGCAGGAGGAACACTGGCAAGGTAACCGACAAGTTTCTTACCACAGAGCTGACGTGCTGTTATTGTTTTAGCCAATTAGTGCACGCGCACCTTCACAGACGTTTACTTTGAATGAAGTTTAATACAGCTTTGTGTTGGCATGGATGTGTCGCACGGATAATTAAAAACTGGGGTTAGTGTTATCTTTGTACAAGCGCGCGACAGGTTGTTAATTAATCCACGTCACGTTCACCCGAGACAGAATGGCCGATTTATCCTGCAGAAATTACTAATAAAATCTAAGAAGACACAAACGTAAAAAGAAAGATGTAAATATTGTATGAAAATGTAAAAGTATCTAAAGATTAAGAACACAGAGGCGCAAACGCAAAAGTTTAAATTCTACTGGACCGGAACGGACTTTTTAGGCTTAAATCCTTTTTAGTCAAAACTGTCATTGCTGCCGCACCATTTAAGGGTTTTTCTGTTGATTTTATTCAAGCTGTTTAAATTAAATTATTTGTTGCATTTAAAGAAATCAAGTTTGAGATTTTAAAGTTTCATTAAATACTTTAGTGCACCCCACAAAGTAACCTTAAAACTGTCAACTCAGGCTGTTAATCATCTAAAATAATAATAATTGAGAACAATAGTAATTATTATTTTTAAATATTTGATTTGCGCAAATTTGATTTGGAACACTCAAGTTGCGCATCCTAATGATGGATTTGTGCCGGAATGATTATATTTCAGTTGACAAATCTTTCCCCCCACAGGAGAGACAAGAGGACGCTGCGACGAATCTAAGGACATACTTTTTCCTCCTGACATCTCTTGTCAATTTGTGCGCCTCAGAGAGATACATCGCTGGATTGGGCACGCGCGTGTGTGGCCAAAGATGAACGCCATCGTATTTAACAAGCTGAACAGCCAGGTCCTGTTTGAGGAGAAGGCCAAGGAGGTGGAAATGAGCAGCAGAAATTACCTGGAAGTCATAGACGGGCAGCATCCAGACCTGCTCTCCGGCAGCCCGAGCATCAGGGACAGCCAGGCCATCAGACACCGGCGCAGCGGGTACGTGCGGCTATCGGCTCTGTCCGCTTGTGTGTGTGTGTGTGTGTGTGTGTGTGTGTGTGTGTGTGTGTGTGTGTGTGTGTGTGTGTGTGTGTGTGTGTGTGTAGTAACCAGACTGGAAGGGAACGCTCACCCAGGGGGTTATTATCTCACCAGGATCTCACGCTCTATTAGTGCGAAAAAGTAGAAAATCTAGATGGTGCTCGTGCGTAAAAAGGTAAAGGCGAGAAATATTCGAATTCTGTGGATCAAAATTCTTGGAAATTTGTTGTTGATGCTCATTTTTAAAGAATGCCCTTTGGATTTTATTTTGATCTAGTTTTACATTTGCTGATTTGCTCAAACGTTTCCAGCAGCTGTGCGTAATTACGCACATGTGCGGTAAAACTGGATTAAAAATTCCAAGCGCTCCTTCCTTCAGGACTTTGAATTCTCTGTTACAGTTTGACGTTTTGTTCTTCTTCCTGTGGCGCTAGTTGATTGATCAGATTGTAAATATTTCTTGTTTCCAAAGCTGGTCCTCATTTAGGTGTTGATGTTCACAGTTAATGTTGGGATTAATAAGGTCAGACCTGTTCAGTAGCCTGTCCTACAGAGGTCTCCATCTGCTTCCAATAGAAACACGTTCACCCTTGAGCTCCCTGTGTGGTCTGGTCTATCACATAAAGACTTTTTTTAATGAATTTTATTTTGTTTGTCAGTAACAGGAAGCAGGTGTGAGAGAATATTCATTTCATTCTTCACCTGTTAGACTCACGTGAGACCAGAAGGAGCTTCCTCTCAGGGAGTAAACATAAAAATGTTAGTTATTATATATAAATGTGTGTGTGTGTGTGTGTGTGTGTGTGTGTGTGTGTGTGTGTGTGTGTGTGTGTGTGTGTGTGTGTGTGTGTGTGTGTGTGTGTGTGTGTGTGTGTGTGTGTGTGTGTGTGTGTGAGAGTTTTAAATCAAAAGTTTAGATCCTGCAGTGAAATATGCTCAAGGATGTTCATAGCGATCTAGATTACAAGGAAAATGTTTGTAGAGCACGAACCTCAGGCAGACTTTGAGGTTAGACTTAAATCTGTTACATCTGCAGTCAGTGGAGCTTTTTGGAGGAGATAAAGGGAGAGGGAGGTGAGAGAGAGCGAGCAGCACCACACTGACATCTACAGGTTCACTGAACCTGCAGCTGCTGCCTGCTTCTCTGCCTGACTGTGTTCTTCATCCTTTCCAGCTCACTCCCTGTCATCCTTTCTTCCTTCATTCTGCACGTTTTGGTGTAATTTAGGCGTGTTTAGTGAGAGGATTCTGATGTTCGCCTCAGCTCCACTAGCAGCTGCAGTGTTGGGCTCGTTTCAGCAGACAGCAACACACAGATGTTAAGCTATTTACTCACACAGTTTACAGAAAGAAAAACTGATTTTAATGATGCTTTTATGGACACATTTAGATAATCTTCTTCAGGTTTTGCCGAATTTCAAAATTCCCATATGATTAATGTTTTCACATCCAGCCTGACTTTCCTCTGTCCTCTCTGATGCTCAGGGGTCGTCCCAGTGGAGGAAAAGTGCGACACAAGCGCCAGGCATTGCAGGATATGGCACGGCCACTGAAGCAGTGGCTCTACAAGCACAGAGACAACCCCTACCCGACCAAGACGGAGAAAATCCTCCTGGCACTCGGCTCACAAATGACTCTGGTACAGGTGAGAAGCCGGTCTTTGGCCGTCTTTAATCTGGCGCTGGCGTTGCTGCTGTGTTAAATATTTAACATGACTTTTGCTTGTGTGCAACAGTTAACAAAACACAGCAATGTTTCAATTATTCTTTTCTTTTTAGCAGCTCTTGCACAGATTAGGAGCTTAATCCCAAAGTTTTTGTTTAAGTATTTAAAACTGCTCTGTTCTTCTAATTAAAGGTAAAATATTATGAATGTGTAGCAGAACTGTTGGTGTTTTTAAAGATGACAGTCTCATGATGAGACGCATGAGCAAAAGGAGAGGAAAACCCAGCACTGAGAATGTGTGTGTTTGGCACGTGCGGCGGTGTGTGTGTGTGTACAGTATCATTTGACTGACAAGTCGCTGATGCAGCCTCCGAGAGTCTGCAGCTTTTTCGTGCTGCTGGCCACCGCTCCTAATCTGCCTCTGGTTTCGGGGGTCCTGCCGGAGCCGTTTGTTTTGGTGAGGGCGAACCGGAGCGCTGGAATGCTTTGGACTCTAGGACACCGACTCACACACGTCTAGGCCGACACCCAAATACAAGCAGCTGAGGTCAAAGGTCAGAAGAAGATTTCTTGAATTTAGATTTGAGCGAGGACAGGCATTTGATTTATCACACTTTTCAGCAGAGAGGAGGTTTAAAACATTCGTTGTTCATTTCTTTTTACCAACGGTCGCAGCGATGATTAGTCGACAAATCAGTGTTTGTCTGGCAAATATCAGTTTTTGAAGAAAATCCGAACATCAGTTATCACTTTTAGGTGTTTAATTCCTTGTGTTTACCCTTTAAAGCACAAACAGTAACTAAAAGATTAAAGTTTCCCTCCTCTTTTAGAAAAATAATGATTAATTCTGAATAAATCAATGTTAAAATACTTAACCGTAGACGCTGCTTTGTGTCTTTCCATCAACGGAGGCTCAGAACTCTTCCACTGTTTAGTCCAGACAGACCTCTATTAGGACTGCCAGTGATACTTAATGCATCACTTCCTGTCCATTCTTCTCTGGAAAGCCCAACCTGGCACCAGGTGTCAGAGAGCAGCTAAATCTGTCATGTTTTAGGACAACAACCTTCCATTTTCCATGTAAATGTTGTAAGTTGTTCCCTCAGTTTGTGCTAATAGTCCAGCGTCTCCGTGCTTGCACGCCGTCTCCTCTACGCTACAGACGGGCCACGGGGGAAAATGTTTCACACTTTTTCTCTGTGCCACCCATTTGTTTTTTGTTTTTTGTTCTCATCTGTCCTCATTAGTGCTCCATCTCACGCCTCACCTCGTCTCACCTCCCCTCCCCACCCTGCTGCCAAGCCACACTTGCTCGGTGCCGCCATCCCTCTGGTGTGCCACAGCACTGGGCTCCAGACTAAAGGACGTAGGATGGTCTTAGTTAACGAGAAACACAATACTTAAGGAGAGGACCTTAAAAAATAAGTACTCTAGCATAAGGCCCGTGTCCCTGCCTCTTCATAAGCCGCTTGAAATCTATTGAGCATGAAAAGTTTTTCCAGTAGAGCATCTAATAGTCTCCCCTCCCAGTGCAAGGAAGAGGGCCGGCTCAAGTGTCTCTTTTATTGCATCTTGAGGACAGTGTTGGAAAAAAAATATTATTTGAGGGAAGGCTGCATGAGTCCAGAGTAAGCATCTCAGCCGGCGCGTTAGTAGATGAAACGGTGCGTTCACTGGCTGTCTGGCGTTTGTTTCTGTGTGGCGTTGACACAGAAAAGAGGCAAGGCCTGGACGCCTCCCTGGTGCATCTTGGATGTCTCCTAAAGCTCAATTTAAGAGTTCCTCTGCAACCTGACCCTGTCTCTGTACTCAGTGTCAGTCCCTGTTTTTTTTTTTTTTTTCTGAATGAGACTCGTGGCAGGCAGGGAGCAGACAATTTCATAGAGGATGGATTTTTTGTTTGTGGATGTGGAGGAGTTTGGATTCCAAACAATAATGTGTTTCTGTTTGTGTGTCCCCACTTCCTGTTATTTCCTCCCACTCCTCTCAGGTGTCCAACTGGTTTGCCAATGCCAGGAGGCGGCTGAAGAACACGGTGAGGCAGCCGGACCTGAGCTGGGCACTCCGGATCAAGCTCTACAACAAATACGTTCAGGGCAACGCAGAGAGGCTGAGTGTCAGCAGTGAAGACAGCTGCTCCGAAGGTACGAGACAGATTAATGACGGCTTAAGGGTTCTTAATATCTAATGGTCCAGAGTGGTGAGGAGCCACCCAAGCTGGGGCTGCTCAGTGGCTACTGTCCAACAAAACAACAGCCAGCCCACTGGCCTAACAGGACGGAGTTCTCAGCAATGAAATGGGATTTTAAACAACAAATCACGTCCGGCTCTGTCGTGTGCACGGCCACTAAGCTGTGAAAACACTTGTGTCTAATCTTCTGGGCTGAGGGGCAGACCTGCTTCATGCTATCCACCAGTCGCTGGTGTGCCTCAACCTTCTGGAGATTTACAACAGTCTTCTCAGCTAAGATAATGTCACACTGCTTTCATCACTCCCACACACATACACACACACACACACACACACACACACACACACACACACACACACACACACACACACACACACACACACACACACACACACACACACACACACACACACACACACACACACACACACACACACACACTTGGCCTTGTTCCCTTGATTTAGTGTTGCTCTCGCTGAGAGGATTTTTTTTGGTTACAAAGATAACTTTAGCCTTCTGCTGGGTATTTCAGCCATTCTGAAATGTGCTCTTGTTACAAAGTTGTCAATAATCACCATCTTACCCATTTTAGAAGGCTCCCAAACAGCCTCAGTTTGGAGAAATAGTTTGAATCTAGCACGACGGAGAACAGCCAAGATCAAAGTTTACTACTGATGTCTCAATATTTCTTGCTTTTACCATTTTTGGAGTCTTACGCAATAATATTCATGATTTTTGAGCATCTTGCCTCTCATTGGCTAACAGCACTGCTCCTCTACCAACACGTGTGTTAGCTCTGCAATGTTGATGTTTTATAACATCAGCCTGGAGGAGTTCTGCCACATTGTGGAGTTGCTAATGCTAACAGTTAATTTCTACTAGCCGAGGTGCATTGTGATCTCTCCTGGATGCTAAATCGACAACGGCTTTCCTGGTCAAGATGGGTGTGTCTATCAATGCTAATTTACAACAGAATAGACTTTATTGATCCCATGGTGGGGAAATTCACTTGTTACAGCAGCACATATACTTAGGAGGATAATTTGAAGAAAAATAATAACAACGGTACGTGTACATACTCATAGGCAGTAAACTATTATTGTAACCTTCGACCGCTAAAAACCACAAATAAAAAAAATAAAAAACTTGGGTTCTAGCCCTATGAGGCATACTGTAAAAGACACACACATACAATGTAAATCCAGCACTGCACACATTTTAAACACATACCCAGTATTGCATTGGTGTTATTGTGTACCAGGATAATGCCAGTACCAGTTAAACTGCGGCGTTATACACTCTTACTGCAGAGGGGATGAATGACCTATGGTAGCTTTCCGTTTTACATCTGGGATGTCTCAGTCTGCCTCTGAAGGAGCTGTCCATGGTCTCCACAGTGGAACGCAATGGGTGGAAGTTTTTTTTTAAGATGGAGGTCATATTGTCACCCACTCCAGTCGATTGGTTCCAATCACCTTATCCTTTGTTGTGTTTGTACCTGAACTGATCCGCTCTGATTAGTACCTACACCGTCTTGCATATAGCAGCCGTTTCCATACTTATTGCCACTTTCTATTACTATTTTACCATGATCATAATCTTACTTCCTATATTTTCTCATCTCTTTTACCTGCCTTTTTTTTTTTTGCACCAAGCACCGCAGCAATTTCCTAATGTTGTGCTTCTCGCACACATGGCCATAAAAACCCTTCTGATTTTGATCTTCACCAGCATCCTCCTTTCACACGTCTCCTCAACTGAATCCATTGCACAGCTCAGAACCGAGCTAGCTTTGCAAACTAACTTGTTCAGTCTCTTCCCATCACGGTCAGAGCTGCCTGCACCCCAACAGACCACAGCAGAGTTGATAACAGAGCCAACAACAGAGTGATAAAAGGATTTTAGGAGCTGGGAATTAACTCCAAAGACCTCAGCCTCCTCAGGAGGTGGAGGCAGCTTTTGCCCTTCTTATACAGAGCCTCCGTATTGTTGGACTAGTTCAGTTTGCTGTTGAGGTGAACACCCAGGTACTTAATGGTATCCGACACTCAATGTCTACGTTACGCTCACACCAGTCCATAAAGTCCAAGATGACTGACATGTACTCAGTTACCCAATTTTCAGTGGGACGCAGATTTGAGAGGCTTCTTCTGACCCGAGCAGTTCTTTTGGCAGCTAGTCCAGAAGATAGCGGTAGAAGACTATTTTCACATTTGACCTGCATGTAAAACTCAATGAAGCTGATTTCAAAAAGAACAACTGTTTTTCAGTGAACATCACAAGTAAGATGGCAACAACGCACTTTGGTTTTCTCTGTCCTCAGACTAGGCATTAGCTCATCAGCTTTGCCGAACAGAAATGCTATCTCTCTTAAAAAGAGACCATTCAGGTAACCCAGTAATGTTTCACTTTTGTACAGAAAAGAAATCCTGATAAAACACGTAAATTTTCCTGCTAACTCAGTAGTTTTTAAATAATCTTTTACTTTGAAGAGGAGAATTAACGAAAAGTTAAGTCTCAGACTTGGAGGGAGAACCTTTCATAGGTCATTTCACTAATTTTCTCAGAGTTTAAAGTTGCAAAGGTTAGTTTAAATTCACACTTTTATTATTAACAGTTCTGGTTTGAACCTGATGCACTTTGCAGCCGAACATTCTTGCATCACACTTGGCATGGTGAAAGGTCGGGCCATGTCCGGCCGTGTTTGTCACAAAGCGGGTTGGTGCTGTGCAGAACATTGTTCTGTGCATAAATGTTGAGCGTGCGATCCAGCTGAGAGATGCGCGGTGGCCAGCGGGCTGCAACACACTGTCATTAAGACACCCCGCCGGGCCAACCTCTGCTTCCAAGGCTGCAATTGGAAATAAGCAGCTCTATGTCTGCTATGTATTTACTGCAAACACATGGCCAATCTCAAGGGAGGGTCCAGCCTCTCGTCTGCTCACTGACGGCGCTGAAATCAAGGTCGGGAATTGTCATAAAATAAAAGTTTGGTAGTCAGGCAGCGAGAGGATGAACAAAGGAAGAGCGCTGTGGTGTCAGTAATCTCTAATTAAGTTTTCTGAGGAGGTGAAGCTGAGCGTGTGGCTTCCAGAGGAATGTGTGCGTGGTGTTTGTGTTGTGTCTGCCGCAGGCCGCTGCACCACCGGAGGCTCCGTATATCTCCCCGACTCCTCTCGCTGTCACATTATGGTTATGAAGCTGTCCGCAGCCTGCTCCCTCTCCTGACCCATGTTTTCTGAGGCTTTCCATTATGTTTTTAAGCCTACGTTTTTGTTCCAGAGACTATTTATGAGCTCAGATATGATCCCGTTGACCGTGTGTACATCCGTCCTACTGTCCTAAAATGGTCCAGCTTGTTTTGTTATAGCAGCACCACGACCAAGGTGAGACGGAAAGGCTGGTTCTACTCAGAGTCTGGAAAAGAAATGCTGCTGCTTCTGGTTTATTAAAAATCTGACACCAGATTCTTGCAGGATTAAAATGAAAGGTCAGATTGTGTGGTGCTGAACTCTACCCCAGAAAGCAAAGAGGAAGGAAAGCCATGTGTTTCTGATACGTGGGAGCTATCATTTTAATTTGGACGAGGCGGAGTCAAATGTCCAACTTGCCCAAATTACAGAATTACTGTCTTGGCAGTGGATTGTCCTTGATTTCCCATTTGCCAGAGCAGATCTGTTTTTTTCAGCAGAGTATTTTATCTTCCTCTTGTTTCTTTCATCAGGTAGAAACTCAGTGCTTTCTTTCAATCTCTTCTCTGCAGAGCACAGTGGAAATTATTTATTTCTGCAGGGGAACAGAGGAGTAATGTGCTTTTGATGGACAGGAAATCACCTATCAGCCATTATGGTTCGGTAATGCATCTCAAGTCTCAGCTGGGTTTTCAGCTTAGGAGGCGATGCCAACATCAGGGCAGCAGTGCCAGGCTGAAATCCTCCAGTTCTGGCATTTGATTCAAGATTAGCTCAGAAAAAGCTGTCTCCATGTCAGAGCGGATGAACAGGAGTGAGAAAATAACTTAACCTGGTCTCCAGGTTTTAGTGCTTCGGCTGTGGGAGCTGGCGCCGGTTGTTTTGGGTGACTTTATGGTGATAGAAAAACCTGTTCAGACTACTCAGATACAGGAGGAGAGAAATGAGTCATTCAGCTCTTTGGCCTTCATGTGTCATTATGTTATGATCACATGTTAGTGCGTCTGAAACTCTTATCGGTCTTTTTCTGAGGTTGTCCAAATGTGTGAGTCAGAAAGTGTGACTGCTGCAGTGACTGATATTCATGCCCACTGCTGGGGCTGTGAATTGGCAAGGATGAATCGATATTACTTATATATATATATATATATATGTGTATATATATATATATATATATATATATATATATATATATATATATTACAGTGGGGCAAAAAAGTATTTAGTCAGCCACCGATTGTGCAAGTTCTCCCACTTAAAATGATGACAGAGGTCAGTAATTTACATCATAGGTACACTTCACCTGTGAGAGACAGAATGTGAAAAAAATCCATGAATTCACATGGCAGGATTTTTAAAGAATTTATTTGTAAATCAGGGTGGAAAATAAGTATTTGGTCACTTCAAACAAGGAAAATCCCTGGCTCTCACAGACCTGTAACATCTTCTTTAAGAAGCTTTTCTGTCCTCCACTCGTTACCTGTATTAATGGCACCTGTTTGAACTCATTATCTGTATAAAAGACACCTGTCCACAGCCTCAAACACTCAGACTCCAAACTCCACTATGGCCAAGACCAAAGACCTTTCGAAGGACACCAGGAAAATAATTGTAGACCTGCACCAGACTGGGAAGAGTGAATCTACAATAGGCAAGCAGCTTGGTGTGAAAAAATCAACTGTGGGAGCAATTATCAGAAAATGGAAGACATACAAGACCACTGATAATCTCCCTCGATCTGGGGCTCCACGCAAGATCTCATCCCGTGGGGTCAAAATGATCATGAGAACGGTGAGCAAGAATCCCAGAACCACATGGGGGGACCTGGTGAATGACCTGCAGAGAGCTGGGACCACAGTAACAAAGGTCACCATCAGTAACACACTACAACGGCAGGGAATCAAATCCTGCAGTGCCAGACGTGTTCCGCTGCTGAAGCCAGTGCATGTCCAGGCCCGTCTGAAGTTTGCCAGAGAGCACATGGATGATACAGCAGAGGATTGGGAGAATGTCATGTGGTCAGATGAAACCAAAGTAGAACTTTTTGGTATAAACTCAACTTGTCGTGTTTGGAGGAAGATGAATACTGAGTTGTATCCCAAGAACACCATACCTACTGTGAAGCATGGGGGTGGGAACATCATGCTTTGGGGCTGTTTTTCTGCTAAGGGGAAGGACGACTGATCCGTGTTAAGGACAGAATGAATGGGGCCATGTTTCGTGAGATTGAGCCAAAACCTCCTTCCGTCAGTGAGAGCTTTGAAGATGAAATGTGGCTGGGTCTTCCAACACGACAATGATCCCAAACACACTGCCCGGGCAGCAAAGGAGTGGCTCAGTAAGAAGCATTTGAAAGTCCTGGAGTGGCATAGCCAGTCTCCAGACCTCAACCCCATAGAAAATCTGTGGAGGGAGTTGAAAGTCCGTGTTGCTCGGCGACAGCCCCAAAACATCACTGCTCTCGAGAAGATCTACATGGAGGAATGGGCCAAAATACCAGCTACTGTGTGTGCAAACCTGGTAAAGACCTATAGTAATCATTTGACCTCTGTTATTGCCAACAAAGGTTATGTTACAAAGTATTGAGTTGAATTTTTGTTATTGACCAAATACTTATTTTCCACCCTGATTTACAAATAAATTCTTTAAAAATCCTGCCATGTGAATTCATGGATTTTTTTTCACATTCTGTCTCTCACAGTTGAAGTGTACCTATGATGAAAATTACTGACCTCTGTCATCATTTTAAGTGGGAGAACTTGCACAATCGGTGGCTGACTAAATACTTTTTTGCCCCACTGTGTGTGTGTGTGTGTGTGTGTGTGTGTGTGTGTGTGTGTGTGTGTGTGTGTGTGTGTGTGTGTGTGTGTGTGTGTGTGTGTGTGTGTGTGTGTGTGTGTGTGTATGTATATATATATATATATATATAATATATTTATATGTGTGTGTGTGTAAATATGTATAGAATATGTGTAGAATATTTGTAAATTGAAACGGTAAATGTTTGCGTATAAATGCTCAATACAAAATGTATGCACTGTTTTTATATCTATTCAGTCTCATAACATAAAATATTTTGATATTTCAGTGTATTGATATTTCCTTACATCCGATCACAAACATGCCATCAATGTTCCAAAGCTGAAATGTTGAGACGCACTTTGGATGTAAGAAAGAAACTACACCTTAAAAGGGAGGAAAACTTCCTGTCCACTTTTCGACTGAAAAAATAGAAACCAGTTTGTCCGTCTGCAATTTTATGGATTTATCCCAAAATGTCATGGTTTATTCTCAGAGTTCACAAGAATAAATTACAATTTGCCAAAACTCCTAGTCTGGATTGTGAGGAGATGGACCAGTGAGACAAAGCAATCCCCCCTCACTTTATCAAATACACCCTTTGCTTTGGAATAAACTCTGCGTTAGAGCTTCAGACCCATTAAACAAACCAGTCCTTTGATATAACCATCATAATCTAAAAGCTATCAGTGGACATGACTCCATCTGCATCAGATCCTCGTTGTCTCCTCCTTTTCCTGATTTTGCCGCAGGCAACAAAAACATGCATCTTTGCAGATCCCTCACACTCCTGGAAAACCTATGGTCAGCTTTTCTCCGTTTACAGGCATTACATCACACTTTGTGTTAAAAGATTCAGCAAGTTGTTTTTGTCAGCCAGAGGAAAATCCAAATCTCATGTGAAAATGTGAAAAGCTGCTTTGGTTAGATGATCTGTTACTCATCTTAAAGTTTTATACATAAACGTTCATATCTTGATTTTTCCAGATGGAGACAACCCTCAGAGGACACAGAGTGGCCCTGAGGAGCTCAACAAACCCATGTACCAGAGTGTCATCAAGAAGGAGGGCTCCTCCATGATGGGCATGGCCATCGGGATGGGAGCCGGGCTGCGTTCAGCAGCAGACGCTGCCTCGTTGGCTGAAGACTATGTGTCTCCACCTAAGTACAAGAGCAGCCTGCTGCACCGCTACCTTAATGACTCGCTGCGACATGTCATGGTTGCCAACGCCGTCATGGACTCTCGCAAGAGGAACCACTCTGGCTCCTTCAGCTCCAACGAGTATGACGATGAGCTGCTGTCGCCATCTTCCTCCGAGGCTGAGGCCAACTTTGTTTATCGGGCTGGTAAGTTTTCTACATTCTCCCTCTGACACACGTTTCCTTCAGGTTCATGTTATATTTTCAGTCTTGCAGCCAATCAGTGCATTTTGTCATTTGATACATTAATATTGCTGAATCTGGTTCTGTTAACCACTGCAATTGAGAGGATTTATATTTTTATTAGGTTTACACACACAGACATTCAGTAGCCTGCATGCTGTTAGACACACTCACAAGAACTCACGTTGTCTTTCGCCCAAGTGGAGATGAAAATCCCTCCAGCTAACTAGGTTTAGCAGACAGACACAACAAGGCCATGGGGAATTGGCTCTCTTTCAGGCTACTGTTTGGTCCGCCTTTCTTCCTGCTGAGTGTTACGTGTAAAACCAGTTTGATTTAGATTTAAGGCAAAGCACAAATGTTTAATCTCCAAAATATGAAAACATTCCATCTCAACCAAAGGTAAGATTACTCAAAAATTATGTAAAGGCCAGCAGAGCCGCATGCAGTCTGGCTGCTACTCCTGCCTAGTGATGCTGGCGGTCATGTTGTTGCTGTTGTGTTTATTGGTGGCTGATTTTTAAAATAAAAAATACTCTCAAAATCGCACCATATGTCCAGATCTCCTCCTTTTTTTGCCGTCGTATAAGCCGGGTTGTAACATATGGGGGCTCGTCCGGGATATTGAAAGCTCTTATCATTAACTGCATGTGTGATTATTGGTATTTATCAGTGTTGTATTAAGATGTTTTTTGCTTTGGCTCACAAGAAAAGTGTTGCTTTGTTTTTCTCATATATGAAGTATTCTTTTGTAATGTTATAATTACTGTTACCCAGTGTTCCTAAATGGCCGCTATTCAGAGAAGTAGAAGCTCAATGAAGACTTAAGTGATTAATACCTATATTATTTTACTGATACTGTTAGATTAATAGAAATATAAAGGCTTTACTCCTGATTTTTTTATCCCTTTGCTGCTACTGATAGGGATTTTTACGTTTGAAAATAACCTTTTTAAGCTAAATTAATGATGAATCTGGGAATTAATTTTCTAACAAAATCTTAAGAAACTGAGTGAAATTTCCAATTTTCATATTTGTTTCTATGAGTAGTCCCTTACAGGTTAACCTTTGACCTTTTTACTGAGATTACTTAATTTTGATCTTACCAGCCTAAAATGTCAACCACAGATCCAGTAAAAAATTTTGCCCGACTTTTGCAAATAAAAATGTCTTAGAACTAAAAAAATGTGCAGCATAGCAGAGGGAACTAAAATCTAATAGTAATGTTTTCACTTTCTGTGTATTGTGGATAGAACCTGGAAAATCCTCGGAGTGGCTGGATCCGAGTGTGTAGGGAGAGAAGTGACGGAGGGAAGTGATGGTTTTATTGTGTTTCTTATGGCCGTGTGTGTGTGTGTGTGTGTGTGTGTGTGTGTGTGTGTGTGTGTGTGTGTGTGTGTGTGTGTGTGTGTGTGTGTGTGTGTGTGTGTGTGTGTGTGTGTGTGTGTGTGTGTGTGTGTGTGTGTGTGTGTGTGTGTGTGTGTGTGTGTGTGTGTGTGTGTGTGTGTGTGTGTGTGTGTGTGTGTGTGTGTGTGTGTGTGTGTGTGTGTGTGTGTGTGTGTGATGCATCAAGGACTGCAGCAAGTGCACTTGTGATGATTGAATAAACTGTGAACCATCTGACCTGAGTGAACATCGGGCTTTTTTTCTGTCGAGCACCTGCGGAGACTCACAGATGGAGAAGGAAAGAATGAGATGAATAGACGCAGGGAGACTTGTAACCTTCACTCTGCCAGAGTTTAATGAGAGAAATCCCAAAAATGGATTAATTCACCTGGCCGCCCCTGCTGTTTTTAATGGACAGTAACTGTTTTATCTCCCCAGTTTCTATAATTCCTTGGCGTTGACAACTCCCTCTTGGCCTCCTTGGTCTCTGGCAGGTTTACAGACGTGTTATTCTGTTACATGCACACACGGAAAATTCTCCGAGGCCGCGTGGGATCGAGCACCTGCCCGGCCCGAGTAATCACATCGGCCACTCAAAGAAATGAAAGTGTGGTCAAGAAGATAATTTTAATTCCACGTCCGATCCTGCCGAAGTAGCTGGATCAAATGAAAGACTGGAGAGAGGAATCATTTGCAGCTCAGTTTGCGTTATTTCCAGATTTTTCTGACCACGTTTTAATGTGTTTAAGTTTCCCTGAGTTTTATGAATCAGCAATTCTATCAGCTTCAGGGGAAACAAAGATTTAAATGTTTGTGATCACTGATGCAACAAGATGTTTTTTTAGCACTTGAACTTGTTATTCAGCTCAGACACAAAATGTTTTGCTGTTTTCCAGCATGTAACTTTTGTGATTGGTCAAATCTGAAGGGCCGACCCATCGGCTTAAAGCTGACAGTGCCAGGTGGTTGTTGTGGGTGCGTACTGAGCCCCTGTGACTACAGAGGGCAGTCAGACGTGGCAGAAAGGGGAGATTTCACCCCAGTGGAAAACTAAACGTCTGTCTGCTTGAAAGAACTCACACTCAGTCCAACTCAAAGGACTCAAACACCCACCGTGTACACACACTGCAGCCTAAAGCCTGTGAGGAATTTAGTTGAACACAAGGCGCGGTAGAATTCCATCCCACATGCCAGGGGTTTCATGCCAAATTTCCCTTTAATGGGATATTAAATGGTAGGAATCTGGCTGAATGTTTTTCTTCTTGGTTGGTAACAGATTTGGGCCCATCCGATATCATATAGATCATACGGTCAAACAACCCCAACAATCCTGCGGGGTGAGATAAAAAAAAAGTCTCTGTCAGACGTTTTACATGAGATTGACGGTAGTTTGTGTTCTCAGGTCCTCTCTGTAATGGGCTCCGGTTACAGCTGCGTACGGTAGCTCGATGGTTACTGTGGGATGCTCGCCAATAAATCTACTGATGTGGAAAAACACCAGTAAATGCCGGCTAGTCAGCAGCCAGCAGTAGTTGGATTCCTATGAGCAACACGGACGTTTGTTGAACTGAAACAACACGTTTTCAACAGATTAACACGAATTTGAGTTTACTACAAAACTGTCAGATCTGTAAATCAATGTAATATTAGCTAATCTAAACTATTAACATGCTGATGCTTTACAGGCAGGACAGGATTATATATTCCTGCTGCTTTGTGGAGTTTTCACAATACATCTTGTTACACTATGAAGGCAACTTTTGTTCTTTAAAGACCAGTTTGTTCAATAACAAATGCTAGCAAATTAGCCACACATGCATGACATTTGCATGTACATATGTAGCTAAGTGGTTGTGGAGCACACCAGGCTAAAGACCAAAGGTCATTTGCTGCTGTGGCCCCCCAGACTTTGGACATCTCTCCCCCTGAGCCTGAGATCAGTGGACTCAATGGTCTCCTTTAAAAAGCAGCTGAAAACTCATTTGTTCAAGCTTTGGTGTGACCTTCATCACCACCCTCTCCTGAAGCCTGATTCATGCTTCTCCGTCAGCTCCGCAAGGGACAGACACGCACGGATTGACGGAAGCGTTTTGCGCTCATACTTCTCCGTCTCCTGGAGAGTGTTGCAAAGCAATTGCCCGGCAGGACAACAGAGGGCGTAGCGCTGTTCTGTGGTATCTTGTCATGTATCCGGTCCAAGATAGTGTGTTTATAATGTGTTTTTTTGTATATAAGAGAGTTTTAACACAGACAAATTTGTCTCTCATTCTCCTCCACCTCTTCATGCTCTCGCCACCTCTAAACCCACGTTTCCTGTCATTTCCGTCCACAAATAAAATGCTTGCTGCGCATCTTTTCACTCCTCCAGTCACGGGGACTAAACGTTCATTTTTTTTAGTTTTTTCGCAAGGTATTCTTCAAGCTGCTCCATGTCTGCCGCTAGTTATCCTCGGCTCTCTTTATGTTTTTGAGGGCGCAATGGCGGCAGTGTAGATGACAGTGGCGTCCTGACCAATCACAAGATTGCGTTGTCCGTCTCGACGGACGGATGTTTAGAAAAGAGAGCTCGACTCTGTGCATCCTTGCGGAGCTCTCCAGCAGGCCCGCAAGGACGGATAATGTTGTTGCGTGTCTCCGCACTGACACAGATGGAGAAGCATGAATCAGGCTTCATTCTGCTCTTTCTACTTATTACGCCTTTCTCGGGATCCACTGATTTCCCTCGTTCCTATTCGTTTTATCTCCCCCTCCGGATGATTGACAATCAGCTTCAGATAGGCTCTTTCTATCTAAACTGTCTGTCTGTCATCTATTCATCTATCATCGAGATAGAGGTCCTCAAAAATTTGCATATTGTGATAAAGTTCATTATTTTCTGTAATGTACTGATAAACATTAGACTTTCATATATATTAGATTCATTACACACAACTGAAGTAGTTCAAGCCTTTTATTGTTTCTGATATTGACGATTTTGGCATACAGCTCATGAAAACCCAAAATTACTATCCAAAAAAATTTGCATATTTCATCCGACCAATAAAAGAAAAGTATTTTTAATACAAAAAAAGTCACCCTTCAAATAATTATGTTCAGTTATGCACTCAATACTTGGTCAGGAATCCTGTAGCAGAAATGACTGCTTCAATGCGGCGTGGCATGGAGGCAATCAGCCTGTGGCACTGCTGAGGTGTTATGGAGGCCCAGGATGCTTCGATAGCGGCCTTAAGCTCATCCAGAGTGTTGGGTCTTGCATCTCTCAACTTTCTCCTCACAATATCCCACAGACTCTCTACGGGGTTCAGGTCAGGAGAGTTGGCAGGCCAATTGAGCACAGTAATACCATGGTCAGTAAACCATTTATCAGTGGTTTTGGCACTGTGAGCAGGTGCCAGGTCGTGCTGAAAAATGAAATCTTCATCTCCATAAAGCTTTTCAGCAGATGGAAGCATGAAGTGCTCCAAAATCTCCTGATAGCTAGCTGCATTGACCCTACTCTTGATAAAACACAGTGGACCAACATCAGCAGCTGACATGGCACCCCAGACCACCACTGACTGTGGGGACTTGACACTGGA